CAGCCCCCAGCCCCCAGCCCTCATCCCAAGCCCCAGCCCCCAGCCCCAGCAACCACCGCTCTGACTTCTGTCACTGGAGCGGGTTCTGCCTGGTCTAGAACCTCGTGTAAATGGAATTAGGCAGAAGGCACTCTTTTGCATCTGGCTCCTTTTGCTCAGCATATGGTCGATGACAAGTGTCCCTTTGCACGGTAGGATGTGCCAGTGGCCCACGCTGTGTCTGTGCAATCCGTACGGTGCGTGGCGGGTTTCTGGGAGGCAGAGCCATCCCCGGGAGCACAGAATGCCACCTGCTGCCACTTCCATCCTCCTTTTGCAGCTGGGCAAACAGCTCCAGAGAGAGAAACGCCTCCCCGAGCGTGGAGAACACGCTGGGCAGTTCTGAGTCTAGCATGCAGTGTTCCCGATTCCCCGTCTAGCGCTTTCCAGACTGGGCTTGCCGGGAGGGTCACAAGCCCCCTCAGCTAGAAGTACGCGACCCCTTATGTAATTTCTAACAGATTTCCATGTTCTTTTGAAAGCATAATCCCATCGACCGGGAGGAAAAAAATCAATGGCCTTTAAAGCGGTAAACTTAAAAATCACATACAAGGAACAGATGTGCCAAAGATCGCGGATTTGAACCACAGCTGGCTAACTGGCAGGGTGGAGAGAGGGGCCTTCCCTGGATAGAAGGAGCCCAAGGGGTCATTCTGCTGCTCCTCTTTCTGGCTCTGTGACCCCACCAGTGGGAGGCCGTGGCTTCCTCACAGGTAAATGGGCCGTATATCACCCACCGCAGGCTCGTTTTGTGGGTTAAGCGAGCTCAAGCAAAAGCACTCAAAATTGTGAGATGCTTGAATTCATGGTTATTGTGATTTTTATCATTAGCCTCTTGGCATCCCCAGGGTTCTGGGATGGTCACCAGCCCTCCTCCTCCCACCAGAGCTCCCTCTGCCCGGGTGTCCTGCCCACCCTTGTGGCTTGAGTCTGGAGTTCCTGTTTGATGCCAGGCTGCTTCCTCTGGCCAAGGACACCTCCGTCCACTTTTCTGCCGGGCAGTCACGCCGAAAGGGCTTCTCTTTACCCCTTGGTCTGTGCCCCTTGGTCGGCTGCTTTGGAGGGTGACCGTGTCTTCCAGGGGGACCTTCAGCAGGAACCCTGTGCAGGCCACACAACCTGTCTTGAAGTCTGACCACCCCAGACACCCTCTGGATTTAGTGCAAATCTGCCTGGCTGGATTTCGTTCTATGGGATCAGGCACACAGATGCAAACTCCTCCATGTGCTTTCTTGGGAGACTCTGAGCTTCCTGAGGGTCGGCCTGGCGGTTTACTGAGTCTTTGAGCCACGGCTGTACTTGGTGCAGTGCTGAGCACACATCAGTTGGTTGAGTTGGGTTGAATCCTACAAGGCGAAGTGCTTTTGTCAACATAAAAGTCTTTTGTGCATAAAAGAACATTATAGGGGCGCCTGTGTGGCTCACTCAGTTAAGCGTCCGACTTCGGCTCAGGCGATGATCTCGCGGTTTGTGAGTTTGAGCCCCACGTCGGGCTGTGTGCTGACGGCTCAGAGCCTGGAACCTGCTTCGGATTCTGTGTCTCCTCCCCTCTCCGCCCCTCCCATGCTCATGCTCTGTCTCTCTCTGTCTCTCAATAATAAACGTTAAAAAAATTTTTTTAACTAAAACAAAAGGACATTATAAAGCAAGTGAAGACTACAGAATGGAAGAAAATATTTGTGAATCATGTATCTGATAAAGGGCTGGTATCCAGAATATATAAAGAGCTCGTACAGCTCATCCACAAAAAGATAATCAACCCAATAGAAAGAATGGCAAAGGACTTGCACAGACTTTTCTCTAAAGAAGACACACAAACGGCCCATGGCTCATTATTCGGGGGGATTTCAAATGGTGTGACTTTCACACCCACTAGAATGGCTACAGTTTTTTAAAATGGAAAATAGCAAGTGTTGGTGAGAACGTGGAGAAATCGGAACCCTTACACACTGCTGGTGGAAATGCAACATGGTGCAGCTGCTGAGGAAAACATTCTGGAAGCTCCTCAGCGAGTCAAAAAGAGATTTACCCTATGACCCAGGGATTCCACTCCCAGATACGCATCCCAGAGAATTGAAAACGCACGTCCACACAAACTGCTACCTGGATATTCACAGCAGTGTTATCCATAGCGGCCGAAGGGCAGAAACAACCCAAATGTCCATCCCCTGCTGAGTGGATGAACCAAATGTGGTCTGTCCACACAAGGGGATATCATTCGGTCACAAAGTCACATGCCACAACGTGGATGAGCCTCAAAAACATTATGCTAAGTGAAGTGAGCCAGACACAAAAGGTCGCAAGGTTCTGTTTATGTGAAACTTCCAGAAGAGGTAAATCCACAGATACAGAAAGTAGACTCGTGGTTGCCAGGGGCTGGAGAAGGGGGTGCAGAGTGACGGCTAATGGGTGCAGGGTTTCGGTGTGGGGTGATGGACGTGTTGTGGAATTTGACCCCGGCGATGGTTGTACAGCTGAAAAACGCTTTGAGTTTTATCTCAGAAAATGTTTTTAAAAATCTCGAAATGGCCATGAGAAGTATGAAGTCTGAGCCCGCGCCCCCTGTGGCCACCTGCAGGCCACTGGGTGGTGCACTCGCAGCCCCTTGAACGCTCAACCCTTCCTTTCCGAATGAGGCCCCAGCTTCCCGTGGGGTCAGCAGAGGCCGCCTGCCTGGAGCCGGACAAAGGGTTTGTTTATCTTCTGGGAGAACTGAATAGTGATGGCAACAGCGGATCTGCAATCGAGGGGAAGGCCCAGGAACCACCTCACTTACCTCCTTCCCGTAAACTCCAGCCTACACCCTCTCCCTCTAGCCCTGTACCACCCAAGAAATCTGAGGACAGGAGCCGCCTCCTCTAGGGAGAGAGTCAGAGAGTCAGTGGCCTTGATCTGCTAGTCAGTGTCTCACTGATTAGTTGCCGGGAAAGACAGATCCGTTTGGGAAGTGGAACTGGGCAGCAGACAGAGTCATTGCTGAGGCCGTGATGGAGATAATGGCCCCAGCAGCCCCCAGGATCTGGTCCTCCTGTAGGATCCCAGGACCACAGAGGGCCCCCTGGACCTTCAAGACCCTCCATATGTCACACACACACACACACACACACACACACACACACACACACACACACACATTCAGGGCCCAGGTGGGTGACCGGCTCACATAACCAGAGACCAACCACCTTGACTCCCAGCCACTTCCCCTGCAGCATCCCCTGCTGTGTATTTGCCTTTTTGCACCGCCCCCGTGCCCCCCCCTCCCCCACCAGGCAGCAGGTGCAATGGAAGTCCAATGGCAGCATGTGTGCGGAAGGAGGCTGGGGTCCTGGAGACAAGCAGAGCCGTCTGTTCATTGCACTCCGCTGTTAGCTGTTGAAAGTTGAGAGTCTAGATAGGATCCGTTTGAAAAACTACAATAAGGATTCTGTGGCTAAAATTAAAGACTTGCAAGTCTGTGCCTCAAGGGGCGCTGGGGAAGCAGAGGTGAGGGTGCGGGTTGCCCCAGGGGTGAGAGCGCCCTGCAGGCGGGGCGTAGGCGCTGGGTCTGTGATTCCCCCTTGGCCTCCCTTCGTTCGCCAGCTCCTGTGTGTCTCTGTCCGGCTGCTCCTTCTCTGTTTCCGTGTCATGTGCCAAGATTGTCGGGAATGTGTGTGGCGGGATGCTGGGTTTGGAGCAAGGCCCAGAGGCTGGTCAGAGCCCTGCTCTGGCTGGCGTGCGTCTTCTGATCCAGGTCTCTTTTTGCTGCTCGATGTGTTTGTTGTGTGCTTCCAGAAGGCCCTTGTGGTCCGTCCAGACGGGCTGAGATCCACACGCAGCCGCTGTATGCAATTCTCCCTCCTTGGAATGGGGGCTCCAGAGCTTTAGAGCACAGAGAGACCTGCTCCCCGCTTCCCCCTCGGCCCCGGGATTCTCCCCAGTGAACATCTTATGTTGCCTTATTCTCTCCTCTGCACCGTTTAGGTGGCGAGATGGGAACAGAGAACCCGCAAGCTGAGCAAGGTCTTCCGATCCCCCTACCTGGCCTGCTACTCCCTGGGTGCTGCCATTTTGCTCCTGAACGTCCTGCGCTCACACTGGTAAGCACTTCCCGGGCCGACAGACCGGATAAAGTCCATTTCCATCGGAGGCATCCAGGGCACCTGAGGGGGCAGCCCCTGCAGGCAGTGTTACGTGGGTCCATCCAGATACGGGGAGCATTGCATCCGAACGCAGTCACCCCCTCCCTCTCTGGGCCATCAGACTCCCATCCGCAGAGGAGTCCTCGTGGCCCCAGGAAGGCGACAGCGCCACATGCCTGGGGTGCAGGCACGGAGGAGCACCGCGGACAAGGCCAGGTGGTCCCCAGTCTCAATGTGTAGACCAAGCTGCTGCAGGAGTCCCCTCCAGGAAGTGTCAGGGCAGAAGGCAGGTGACACTTGGGGACTGAGCCTCACGCAGGCTTTTTACAGCAAGCTGCTCAGCTCATGTCTGGACCTGACGTGTTACCTTCCTGCCAGGGGAACTCATTCCAGATGATAAAGCGCTGCCCTCGGGCCTGGTGGCGGGAGCTGGTGCTGATGCTCAGACAGGAGGCGCGGTGCCCTGCAGGCCACCCCTGAGCCCGGGGTCCTACCTCCACTGCTCTGTGAGAACCGCTGTGGGCGCCACACTGGCTTGTGGACTGAACATGGCCCGTGCGGTGCTGGAAAAACTGAGCGATGTCACAGGAGAATTGCAAGGTCCGACTTGTCATGACAGATCAGAAGCCCTGGTGGCCCCGGCCCCCACGTGGGAGCGATCACTGGGGAGCCGAGTGGCGGCCGCTCGCCACGTTCCCCACGCCCTGCCTTCCCCTGTGGGCCCTGGGGAGAGGAGGGGAGGCGTGGGCGTGATGCCCCATTTGACTCGTGGCCTTTGCTTCTTTGCCTTTCCGGCTGCCTGTCGTCTCCTTACTTCCTCCACTCCAGGCCAGGCCAGGATGGCTATCCCAAGGGTCCTGGTCTTCAGAGAGGGCGTGGCCCCTGCCCTGGATTAAATGAC